AGAGAAGGTCCACTGCCCACTGATTTGATGGAACTGAACAAGGAGCTAAAATGTGCTGCCCATTTGACTCTTCCAGGAAACATCAAGAGTAGTAACAGTGGGAAACTGTTCTTTGCATGTAAATTACACAATCAAAAACCCTGCTTTTTTTTTTTATAAGCAAGCATCCTACACCCACACCTACACACAGCTATTATTACAATATCTGGAGCCTGCCAATCATTTCAATGCAGGCAGGTAAAGAGGGAGGGAGGGAGGGAGGGAGGGAGGAATGAGAGGGAGAGGGAGAGGGAGAAAAAGAGGAAGGAAAGAAGATAAGGAAGGAAAGAAAGAAGGAAGGAAATAAAGATGAAAGAATGAAGGAGAAAGACAGAAGTGAGGGAGAAAAAGAAAAGAAGAAAGAAAGATCATAGTGAGGGAGAGAGAGAAAGAGGGAGGGAGGAAAGAAGGATAGATGGAAAGAAAGGAGAAAGGCAGAAGGAAAGCAGAGGAAGGAAGAAAGAAAGGAGGAAAGGAAGGAAGTTATATTGTTTTTCATCACAGTAAGCATTTCACTAAGGAGGCAAAAGAATAGCTATGCATGTGGAAGAGAAAAATTTATTCCTATTCATTTTGTTTTCATTTGTTTTTGTCCAAGAGAGAATAAACTTTTGGTATATTTCTCACAGACAGGATGTCACAACTTTCCAAATATTTTCTGATTCCCTTAGTTACAGGATGATCATGGATTGTGTGTGAACATCCCATCTTTGCATATGTCAACTTTTCGAGATAAACCAGGGGTAGGCAATCTTGGCTCTTTTATGACTCGTGGACTTCAACTCCTAGAATTCCTGAGCCAGCCATGCTAAGCAGAGTATAAGATAATAATAATAATAATAATAATAATAATAATAATAATAATAATAATAATAATGACAAAAAAGTCTGGATAGTGGACGTGGCAGTGCCTGGAGATAGCAGAATAGAAGAGAAAGAACTGGAGAAGATAACAAAATACAAAGACCTACAAATAGAAATAGAAAGACTGTGGCAAAAGCAAGCAAGGGTAGTACCAATAGTCATAGGCCTTGGGTGCAATCCCAAAACAACTGGAGCACCACTTGAACACCATTGGCATTGACAAATTCGCTATTAGTCAATTGCAAAAGGCGGCCTTATTAGGAACTGCTTCCATCCTGCGACGATATCTGTAATACCAGCAAACATCCACATCTGCCTATCCCAGGTCCTGGGTAAGGACTCGATAGGTAGACAAAATGCCAAATCCAGTCTGAACATCTGGCTGACTGTGCGATGATCCATAATAATAATAATAATAATAATAATAATAATAATAATAATAATAATAACATTGGCATTGACAAATTTGCTATTAGTCAATTGCAAAAGGCGGCCTTATTAGGAAATGCTTCCATCCTGCGACGATATCTGTAATACCATCAAACATCCACATCTGCCTATCCCAGGTCCTGGGTAAGGACTCGATAGGTAGACAAAATGCCAAATCCAGTCTGAACATCTGGCGGACTGTGCGATGATCGATAATAATAATAATAATAAGTGAATGTTGGAAGGGACCTTGGACGTCCTAGTCCAACCACCTGTTTCAGGCAGGAAAAACCCTATACCATTTCAGACAAATGGCTATCCAGTCTCTTCTTAAAAACCTCCAGTGTTGGAGCATTCACTGCTTCTGGAGGCAGGTTGTTCCATTGGTTAATTGTTCTAACTATCAGGAAGTTTCTCCTTAGTTCTAGGTTGCTTTTCTCCTTGATTAGTTTCCATCCGTTGTTCCTTCAGGCGTATATACTGCAACCAGTTTTGGTCATCATACTACAAAAAAAATCTTGAGACTTTGGAAGGAGTTCAGAGAAGAGCAACAGAAATGATCAAAGGCCTGGAGACTAAAACATAGTCTAGACTAGCGGTAGCCAACCTTTGCTCTGTTAGGGCTCGTGGACCAACTCCCATGGCTCAGGAATTCTGGGAGGTGAAGTCCATGAGTCATAAAAGAGCCAAGGTTGCCTACCCCTGAGATAGACCATATCAGCACACAGACTTCACAGGAATATAAAACCTTATTTTATCAAGAGAAGTATAGCAGAATCTTACAAATCTGCTTTCTCCACCTCATCTTCTTATAAAGATAGTCCTTGAGTTATGACCATAACTCATGATGGTGGTAGAGCAGTCATGTGACTGCCCCAATTTTATGATCTTTTTGTGGCAGTTGTTCAGCAAACTACTATGGTCATTAAGCAAATCCACAGTTATTAAGCAAACCAATGATTTGCTATGGGCTTGGTGTTGCCAAAAACTGGGAGGAATGCAACTTATCAGGAGCCCTGGTGGAACAGTGGTTAGAATGGAGTATTGCAGGCAAACTCTGCCCAAAGCCTTGAGTTCAATTTAATTCCAAGGGGAGAAAATTTCACAATAGCACTATGGTGGTGTTAATGTTCTTAATTATTGTTTTTTTTAAAAAAAAATATCTTGGCTGCTGTAAATATTATTTATTACTTTGCTATAATGGGTTTTATTTCATTTTTAATGCAGATTTGTGCATTTGAGATGGGTGGCTATATACATTGAATGAACCAATGAACTGTTTGGGACTTATTTAATTGAAAAGTGTGAGCAGGCAGGGAGTAAAAAGAAAGAATCAACTGTATCTTTCATTCTTTCACAAAATTTGATTTATGTTGTACTCCATACATACTGTATACACATACAATATTTAAATAATTTATAAGATCGCCCAGCTCAAACACTGCAACTCCAGCTCAAACGTTACAAGCAACCCCAAACAAAAATCAAATTAAGATAAACTATTTCAATTAAACTTCAACATTGTAAACTGGCAACCAGGAACTCGCATTCATACCCCTCACTCAGATTTTTTTATTTCTTGCAACTAACCGTAGGGCATGTGGCTTTGTTAAAATGAACTCATACTGAGTACTTTTCCATGGTCTGCAAGTTCCCAAATAACAGTGTGAGCCTAATTAATCTGTCTTCTGATTTTCTGCAAATGTTTTCCTCCTTGAAAAAATGGCGCTTTTTCCCCTGTACAAATTCAATTGGAAAAACTACAGAGCTCCTTTTTTATGTCCAATTCTAGACCTGATCTTGACTGGGGCTTTTTTGTTTTCTTTTGAAACTTTAGCTGGGCAGTTCTTAAATCAAGTAATCACCACATTTCACCTCACCATCATTTCCATTGGACATTTATTCACTTCTAACCTTTATCCCCTCCCAAAAAAAAAGATCCAGTTCATTATCAAAGAAGTCCCTCTCCATTTAGTCTCGGGGATCTGAAACAACCTTCTTATATTTTGCCACTTAGGTGACAATGATTTGCTATTTTCTATACAACCATCCTTTTTTTAAAAAACAAAAAAACAAAATCACTATTTTGGTTTCAAATTAAATGGTAAACTTTTAGCCACATCTTTGGAAAGAAGCATCCTTGAGTCCAATTAATCTTTATTGGGAGAAGACACCTCTGGACTGCTTACCTGTACTGTAGGGGAGACAGTACAGGTAAGTCCTCAACTTCTGATCACAATTAAGCACAAAACTTCTGTTGCTAGGTGAGACAGCTGTTAAGTGAGTTTTGCCCCATTTTACAACTTTTCTTGCTACATTTGTTAAGTGAATCACTGGAGTTGTTAAGTAAGTTACACGGTTGTTAACTAACACTGTTCTCCCCATTGACTTTGCTTGTCAGAAGGTTGCAAAAGGAGTTCACATGACCCCAGGACACTGCAACTGTCATAAGTACATGCCAGTTGCCAAGCGTCTTATTCTTGATCATGTGACTATAAAGATACTGCAACTGGTCGTTAAGTGTGAAAAACAATCACCAGTCACTGTTTTCACTGTCGTAACTTTGAACGGTCACTACATGAATGATTGTAAGTCAAAGATTACCTGTAAAAACAATTTTTTTTAAGGCCAACTATTCCTACCCAATGGTATGGATAACAACAGCAACAAGGACAATAACAATATCAGTAGCAGAAACATTTGTGTGCATTTGGTATAAACTGATCTACAGCATATATGTTTGTGTGTGTGTGTACACAGTCAGAAGATGCTGTAGCCATTATGATTTTACTTCGAATGTATTGTCATTTTATTGGGTCAGGGAGGTTTATTTCTGATGACTTTAATATTTTTATGCTGCCCAGAGTCTCTTTCAAATGAGGTGGGGCGGCAAATAAATTTAGTAAGTAAGTAAATATACTTGAAGACATAATGATACTAGCAAACCTACTTCACATAGATGCAGCGATGGGATTCAGCCGGTTTGCACTGGTTCGCCAAAACCGATGCCTAATTTTTTGTTGAGTTCCGCGAACCGGTTATGATAAATCTGTGTTTTCCAGAACACGACTGGTTTTCGTTCAATTTCCTTCCAGGCCGGGGGGAAAAAAACCCTCCCCAAAAATCCATGAGAGGGATGATGGAAACCAAACGAAGACAGGGCGCTTTCGATCACGTCACTCAGGCAAAAACTAGGTGGTGCTTCTCATAGGTAATTTCAGGAATAGATGCTTTATCTCGCTAGTTTCCTGACTGGTCCATACGGGAAAGGGGGCGAGGTCAGTGCTACCTTTCGGTATATCATTTTTTTATACGTAAAGTGGTCATTAGGGCAGAGAACCAGTTGTTAAATGATTTGAATCCCACCCCTGCATATTGTATTTGCAGAAGTTCCCTCCAAGTTTATGAACTTGTAAACAAAAATTATCCAAAATTCTATATCAGGAAAAAGTTGAGCTCTCTAGTATGTATAAATTACATAAAGAAACAGGTGTTTGTTATTTAAACATACAGGGTCAAGCAAAATAAGGAGCATCTCACCAAACCAGGTGCTCAAAAGATGCTAATCAGTCGATTATCTTCCAGCAGGTTTCCTCCACCTCACTTTCTACTGAGAGTCGTCGTATCAAAAGTTCCCTGTTTTAAAAATTCTTCCTGGATTTACTTACTTAGGATAACATCTTTGATGGAAGACTGGCAGAATTGCAGCATCCCAGCTTGAATGTAGGAGCAGCTGATCTCGCAATCTCTCTGTAAATGGTAATAAATATAAACAAACGCATAATATTTTGATGAAGGAGAATTGGTCCTTTCAACACAGTCACTGAATTTAGATCATGCCTATATAAATAGCCCATCATAGCTGTTATGGACAGGGAGTAACAGCAGGTGAGGAGAAATTTGAAGACCAGCTTGGTCAAGTTCAGGATCCAGCCCCCTACTCAAGCAGGAGAACCTATACCATCTCAGACAGGTGATGTCAGTCTCTTCTTAAAAATCTCCAGTGATGGAGCATCCATGACTTCTGGAGGCAAGCTGTTCCACTGGTTAATTATCCTCACTGTCAGGAAGTTTCTCCTTAATTCCAGGTTGCTTCTTTCTTTGATCAGTTTCCAACCATTGTTTCCTTGACTGACAACCACAATTGAGCCCTCAAATTTTATTGCTAAGTAAGACATTTGTTAAGTGAATTTTGCCCCATTTTATAACCTTTCTTGCCACAGGTATTAAAGGAATCACTGCAATTGATAAGTTAGTAACTCGGTTGTTAAGTGAATCTGTTTTCCCCATTGACTTTGCTGGTCAGAATTTCGCAAAAGGTGATCACCTGATCCCGGGACACTGCAACCGTCATAAATGTGAGTCAGTTGCCAAGTTTTAATCAGGTAGCCATGGGGATGCTGCAATGGTCGTAAGTGTGAAAAATGGTCATTGGTCACTTTTTTCAGTTCCGTAACTCTGAACGGTCACTAAATGAACTAAAATCAAGGATTATGTGTATTCTACAGCAGGGATATCAAACTGCCAACCCGCGGGCTGGACGCGTCATGAGGAAACCACACCCACCCCATTGCTGGCAATGGGGAAAAAGTTCCGATATGTTGCACGACGTCACGTGACGTCGTGAGTTTGAAAAGTCTGCTCTACAGCAATACCTTACAGCAATATTGTAAACTGCTTTTAAATGGAAACGTAATAAAACCATAATAAATATATCCAGCCTCTGGGAAGGAACCGGTGCTCTTTTGTACACCTTCTTCCCTTCTACAGCGATCCTTCTGCTGACCCTCAATTCTTTCTGATTGATTGCTAAGAACACAAACTGTATTGTGTCCTCATAAATGTTTCAGATATGGGAACAATAAGGTTAATAATATTTGTCATAGAAAAGCCATTTCTATTTCTTTCATTTATAGCTCTTTCTTCCTCTGGCATCTCAAGATAGGGTACACAGAGGTGCTTTCTTCAATTTTTTTTTTTAACTCAGAACAAGAACTTTGAGTAGGGCTGAAAGAAAATTAACCTGCTGGCTGAGGAATTCTGAGAGTTGAAGTCCAGAAATCTCAAAGTTGCCAAGGCTGAAAAACACCTTCTTAATCGTGGTACCATACCCGCTCTTAATACAGCAGGCAGACTATCCTAGCATCGAATAAAAATCTCCTTTCAATTATATAGGTAGTCCTCGATTTACAACCCTAATTTAGCCTGGGATTATGATTGTAAGTCATACTGGTTATTAAGTGGATCATCATGTGATCACACCCAATTTTAGGACCCATGCTGCAACAATTTTTAACATGGTGATCATAAGCAAACCCAGTGGTCATTAAGCAAACATCACCGTGGTCACTAAGTGAATGCATCTGCAAATGGTGTTTTTGCGGGACACTAGAACTACAAGTCAGTTTCCCACAGCAATGTTCTAAATCACAGGCACATGACTGCTGGACACTGCAAACAGCCATAAATTCAGATCCTTTGCTGACCATCTAAAAATGAAATCACATGGCTACAGGAAGGATGGATGCCTCACCATCAGAACTTCGGATCTTGGATTATAAATAGCCCTTGGGAAGGTTTATCGTAAATCTGAATGATTGCTAAGCAACTGGTCGTAAATCAAGGACTATCTTTATGGCAGAAGGAGATCTTTTCGGTGTTACCTCCTCAGCAAACATTTCGTGGAAATAGTTTTCAAAATGGAAAAACCACAAGCAACATTTGAAAACTGCCAGGCTTCTCCTCTCCTGAGATGTAATCAGCAGGCTTGCAACCAAAACACAGACCGAATCAACACTCTTGAAAAGTTGGCTAAAGTTTGCTGACTCCCACAGAAAAGTTACCCCATCACCAAAGTTCACCCCAGAAGAAGGGCTCAAGTTCCAGATGGATCTCAACAGATTTGAACACTGGTCCTTATCTGACAAAATGAAATTCAATGTAGAAAAAAGTAAGGCAAGAAAAACTAAATCTATAGGTACAGATTGGATGAAACTTGGCTCAATAACAGTAACTGTGAGAGGGATCTTGGCATCCTAGTGCAGGGCTTTTCAACCTTTTCACCCATTGTACCACTTTTAGGATATGGCAACATCCGAGTACCACCAGTCGCCTAGAAAGGTGTCAAAAACTTGATGACCCAAAAAAAAAAAAGGAAAAAAAGTGATAAAGTACAGGTAGTCCTCGACTTACAACAGTTTGCTTAGTGACTGTTTGAAGTTACAATGGCACTGAAAAAAGTGCCCCCCAAGCCACAGCCGAGCAAGACGCCTGCCTGCCCAGTGGCGCTCTTCCTCCTGTCCGAGGTTTTCATTGTTGTGAGCATTTCTGTTGAGGATTGGCAGCGGGGGTGGGGTGGGGGGTGTTTGGTTTTTATTCCCCCCATCTGCTGGGTGGTTGCAGCAGGTTTTGGTCACTTTACATGACCCTGGGGCACTGTGACCGTCATAAATATGAATCAGTTGCCAAGCATCTGAATGTAAATCACAAGACCCTGGAGATGCTGCAACATTCCAGCTGAGCCTGGCGCTTCTGGGCTTAGCAGAAGCGCCAGGATCAGCGCTGAGCTCCAGCTGGAGCGTGGCGCTGATCCTGGCGCTTCCACTGAGCCCTGACAACCTTGCAGCTCCAGCCATCTCTCGCTCAGGCTTGTGTGGTGTTGCCACGGGTTCAGCTCATTCCCCTCCCCCGCTATCACTTTTCTAGGATGGTCACGTACCACCTGCCAGGTGCCAATGTACCACAGGTGGTACCCGTACCCCACTGGTTGAAAAGCCCTGTCCTAGTAGACAATCACTTCAATATGAGCCAATACTGCAGTGCTGCAGCCGCCAAAAAAGCCAATGCAATTTGTGGCTACATTAACAGAGGGATAGAATCAAGATCACATGAAGTTTAGGACCACTTTATAATGCCTTGGTAAGGCCACCCTTGGAATATTGCAATCTGTTTTGGTCGCCACGATATAAAAAAGATGTAGAGACTCTGGAAAGAGTATAGAATGCTGAGAAGAGCAACAAAGATGATTAGGGGGCTGGAGGCTTAAACATATGAAGAACGCTAATCTAGCAAAAAGAAGGATTAGGGGCGACATGATAGTAGTGTTCCAGTATTTGAGGGGCTGCCCCAAAGAAGAGGGGGTCAACCTATTTTATAAAGCACCTGAAGGCAGGACAAGAAGCAATGGATGGAAACTAATCCAGGAGAAAACCAACCTAAAACTAAGGAGAAATTTCCTGACAATTGGAACAATTAATCAGTGGAACAACTTGCCTCCAGAACCTGGGAATGCTCCAACACTGAAAGTTTTTAAGAAGAGACAGAACATCCACTTGTCTGAAATGTTATAGGGTCTCCTGCTTGAGCAGAGGGTTGGACTAGAAGACCTCCAAGGTCCCTTCCAACTTTGTTATTCTGTTATCCTGTTATGTTTCTTTTCAATGTCTACGCAAGGACAAAACCATGTGTATGCAAGAAAGAGACAAAGAGAGAGAGAAAGAGAAAATACTCATGGAAAGTTAGACTATAAACCACGAATCCTCTAGGAAAAACAAATGCTTCTTCTTGTTCCCAATTAATGGGAAGCGTACAGCTGTAGAAACATAAATTGCTATACTACATACACAATTAATTCCCTTTTCATTATCAGTAAAAAGATGCCCAAAACAGCTTCAGACAATGTGCTGCCATGGAAAACTAGAGGAGACCAAGCAATTTAAAAAATATGAGGAATGGGAATATTATTTAAATCACCCATAAGAGACTTGTGTTCTTGCAAACATTCAGAATTGTATTCAGGTAGTCCTCGACTTATGACCAGTTGCTTAGCAACCATTCAAAGTTATGACCTACCTGAAAAAGAGGACTTATGACCCAGATCTGAAGTTCTGACAGTCACCCTGGGTCACGTGATCACATCTGAGGTGCTCAGAGAAATGGCTGCATTTATGCCTGTTTGCAATGATTTACTTCTGCTTTTTGGCAAAACTGTGCCATAGTGAACAAGTTTTGCTTACCTACTGCTGCAAATATCATTATAAAAATGTGACCAATCTGTTTTTTACACTGTAATGACTTACGACTGCAATGGGCAGGGTCCATTGCAACTCAAGGATTACCTGTACATTGTCATGAAGTTTCTGCTAAAAATAGACAGCTTAGAACACAGATTTTCAAACTTGGCAACTTTAACATGTCTGGACTTCAACTTCACATGCCAGCTGGGAAATTCTGGGAATTGATGTTGACACATTTTAAAGGTGCCAATTTCATAAAACACTAGTTTAGGGCATCAGCAGTTAGAAAATATTAGTATTTTATCCTGCTTTTTTTCTTTCATCCTGATGAACTTCCATTGAAATTGTCAACTATTATTCCAACAAGCTAACTCTGCTCCTGGTGACTCATGCCTTAGTCACCTATCATTAGGATTACTGCAATATGCTCAACAAGGGGGGCTGCCCTTGAAGAGTGTTTGGATGCTGCACAGTGGGGTAAAATGGGCGGCCAATAAATTGGATGGATGTAGATAGATAGATAGATAGATAGACAGACAGAAGACAGATGACTGGTAGATAGATAGATAGATAGATAGATAGATAGATAGATAGATAGATAATAGATAGATAGATAGATAGATAGATAGATAGATAGATAGATAGATAGATAGATAGATAGATAGATAGATAGATAGATAGATGGATACATGGACAGACGGACAGACAGACAGACAATCAGTGATTCTCAGCTTG